ACGAGGTCGCTCGGGCCGCACTGGCGGCGCTGCTGCACGAGCACGGTGCCGGCGCCGTACGTCGGCACCACACCGAGGCGGCCGTGCTCATCCTTCACGACCCACACCCAGCCACTCGACACCATGCCCATGGCCGCTGACGACACAGCGAGCTTGAACTGGGGGAGCGAGCCAAACTGGTCGGCGATCGCGGTCGCGAGCGTCTTGCCGTAGAACGTCGGCACGGCGCCCATGTGCGTCGACGGCTGGGGGTACGCACGCGACGCCTGGGCGTCGTGCGGCTTGAGGCCCGCGAGGAAAAAGCTCGTGTTGAGCGCCAGCGACGCGTAGTTGAACATGAGGATCTTTTGCCGGTCGCGTGCGGTGCTCATCACCGTCTCAACCACGGATTCCGTCGCATGCGGCGTGCCTGGGTCAGCAAGCGGTACGCACCCTTCACCTCCTCGTTCAGGCGCTGCAGCAGCCCCGCCTGCCACTGCGTCCACAGCAGGTTCGTCGTCCGCTTCGAGAGGAACGGCTCGCAGCCTTCAGCAATCGCAGCGGGCATCGGAGGCAGCTGGTGCAGCAGCCGCGCGCCTCCCAGGCGCGGCAGCGCCACAGACGTGCGGCAGAGTCCGGTGCGCAACATGGTCAGAGCCAGGCCACCGCGACGAGCCCCGTCGGTCTTCTTCGTCAGCACGTGACATGAACGGCCGGCCGCTCGACGCGTGCCCGCCGTGGCCGCCCGCCATGGACGCCCGGCTGCGCGCTCCGCCGCCCGGCTCGCCCGCGGCGACGTACCGTGCGCTGGTGAAGGAGGCCATGCGCCCGCGGCAGAAGCGCATCTATGTGCTCGCCTGGATCATCACGTACGCCGCGCTCGCGGCGACCCAGGCGCCCACCGCGCCCCTCCGCTCGTTTGTCGTGCTGGGCAGCGCGGCGCTCCTGGCCAGCGCCGTCGTCGCGCTCCTGCTCTTCCGCCGCACACGTCTCATCAGCGCGGTGCCGGCGCGCACGCCCCAGTGCGTCTCGCGCGCCGCGCTCGTCGCACACCTCGTGCGCGCTGACGACGCCTGGCATGCGGTGGCGCTCCATGCCGCCTCGGGCGCGTTCGTCGCCCTGCAGTGCGCTGTGCTGCAGGTATGCCTGCGTGGATGGAGCGCGCCGCTCGCGCCCATGCGCTACATTGACGCGCACCACGCGTACTACGTGAATGAGGCCTTCCTCGGCGTGCTCGCCGTCGGCACGACCGTCGGCGCGGTGTACGCCGTGGCCTACCTGCTCCTCGTGCCCGGCGCACGCCGCGGCGTGCCTCCGTTCGTGCCGGCGGCGCTTGGCACGTCGCTGCGCACACGCTGCCTCGCGGCCCTGCAGCGCCACGTCCCCCGAGCACTTGGGCTGCTCGTCGCGGTGCCGCTCCTGGTTCTTGCCTACTCGCTCGTGCGCGACGCATGGTGGTCCGCGGCTCTCCGCGTCGTCGGCGTGGAAACGAGCGTGCGCCGCTTCCTTGTGCCGTCGTTCCGCGTGCCGTACGCACCCGGCACACTGTGCCTCCATGCGCTGCGCGTCACGGCATGCCTCCTCGTGCTCTTCGAGGCCACACACACCCTCTTTGACGTGTACTGGACGCACCCCCTGCGCGCTGTGCCGCCCCGCCTGCACGACCCGCTGACCGCCCTGCTCGGCGGCCTTCACGACCCGCACCCGTTCTTCTCCGCGCACGCACTCGCTGAGCTCGCGCACTGGGCGCAGTCGGAGCCGGCGCGCCGCCACGCACTCTTTGAGGATGTGCAGCAGCAGCACGGCCGCCCCATGGCCTTTTCGTCTGTGGCGACGGCGTGCCGCCGCGCTCTCGATGCGCTGGCGCCGCCCGAGCCCGCGCCCAAGGCCGCGCCGCCGCCAGCCCCTGCGCCCCAGGGCCCACCGCCGTCCACGAGCGTGTGGCACCGCCTGGCGGCGCCGCCCGAGGCTCGCGCGGCGCCTGCGAAGCCTGCTGCCTCTGCGCCGGCGGCGCCTCCGCGTGCCTCGGCCCTGTGGCGCACGCTGCTCTACCTCGCCTCCTCCCTGTGGGCACGTCTGCCGTCCGAGGCGCAGCACGTCCTGTTTCCCCAGACGCTGTACTCGGCCTTTTTCGCGCCGGTCCCTGCGCTGTGGCTCGATGCGCACCTCCTCGATGACCGCGCGCGCGCGTGCTGGGCCGCGCAGGCGCTGCAGCACCTCGTGCTCGCCTCGCTGGCCGAGGACAAGTATGGGAGTGTGCAGCCGCATGTGCCTGCGCTCGTTCCGACGCTCGCGCAAGCGCACGAGCGTCTGATGGCGGTGCGCCGCCGCGCCGAGGCCATGGCCGTCGAGGCAGACACGCACCTGGTGCGCGAGGCGCAGCTCGTGCGCGGCGCGCTCGCTGCCGCCGGCGCCGACGCGAATGCAGCGACGTTCCCGCCCTCTCTTGCGCCCTTCCAGCACGAGATGCAGCATGCATGGGAGGCCTATGCATGCGTCGACTACGAGGTGAGCACGGCGCTGCGCGGTATTGTGCAAGCCATGGCACCGTATCATACGTAGCTACAGGAACACGATGCGCTGCCCGACGACTTGCAGGACGCCGAGCGAGGCATACTCGAAGAGCGTCTCCTGGAGCTGCGCCTCGACCCAGCCGGCCGCCAGCACACGCGCACGCACATCAGGCAGCGACAGCTCGCCGAGACGCGGCGGGCCGCGGGGGTCCGCGTCCTCCTGGCCGGCCTGGAACGCCATCTCACGCAGCAGGCGGAAAATCTTGGACACGGGGCTCTGGTCGTCGCCTTCGCCACGTGGCCGCGTCGAGTACAGCGACGCTTTGCTGACGTCAATCAGGCGCAGCGCCTCTTCCACATCGGATGTCTCGACCTCGTCCGCAAAGCGCAGGCGCGCGAGGGCCTGCGACAGACGCACGATGCCCAGCAGCGTACGCGCAGACGTGTGCGAGAACGCCTCGTCGCGCTGCTCGTCCTGCTTGTGCTGGGCGCGCATCTGCACATACGCATTGACCATGTGCTCCGACACGCTGCGGGGGATGGTCGGGCGGCACTGCCGCGCGGCCGCAATAAAGTGGCGCAGCAGGTTCGGCGGGATCGCCTCTTGCGCATGCGCAGGCGGCGCACTGAACATGTGCACGTACGTGACGTGCTGCGCGAGGCGCTCGTCGTTGTCGCGCGAGGGCGTGTCGAGGATCAGGTAGAGAATGTCAAAGCGGCTTAGCAGCGCCGCAGGCAGGTTGATGTTGTCCACAGGCGACACACGGGGGTTGTACCGCCCGTACAGGGGGTTCGCCGCAGCGAGAATCGACGTGCGCGCATTGAGGGTCGTATTGATGCCCGCCTTGCTGATTGAGATCGTCTGCTGCTCCATAACCTCGTGGATCGCCGTGCGATCCGCGTCCTCCATCTTGTCGAACTCGTCAATGCACGCAATGCCCCGGTCAGCCAGCACGAGCGCGCCGCCCTCGAGCACAAACTCGTCCGTGACCGGATCGCGCAGCACGGCCGCCGTCAAACCCGCCCCCGATGAGCCGCGGCCCGTCGTGTAGAGACCGCGCGGCGCGACCTTGGCAATGTACTTGAGCAGCTGCGACTTGGCCACACCGGGGTCGCCCATCAGGCACACGTTCAGCTCGCCTCGGATTTTGAGGCCATCGCCCATCGCCTTCGAGCAGCCACCGACCAGCAGGAGCAGCAGCACCTTTTTCACATCCTCGTGCCCGTAAATCTCGGGCGCAATGCTCGTCGCCAGGCGGTGGTACAGGAACGGATCCGCACGCAGCGACGCCAGCGCCTCCTCAATCTCCGGCGTGAGCTCCATCGTCTCGTACGTCTTCTTCAGCTGCTGGACGTGCTGCGCCTCCAGGTACGTGTCAGTCAGCAGGCCGGCGCGGATCCCGCGGAAGCCCGTGTACGGCAGCGGCAGGAAAATACCGCCCACCTGCACCACGTCGCCGGGGCTCACCTGGCGCGTCAGCCGCCCGTACAGGTGCACGCTCATCGAGCGCGGAATGTGGCCGACCGGCACCTGGTCCGTCATCTCCTGGATGCGGATCTCCTGGTACGCCAAAAACTTGCTGGCGCGCACCTGGGGGTAGAGCGGCGCGCGCGTCTTGTTCGTGGAGCATACACGGCTCGTGCAGAACGTGAGCGGCATGTACTGCCGCCCGGTGACCTCCTGGAACACTTCGGCGCCACATACGTCACACGCGTACGCATCCACGAGGATCGAAGGCTTGACATCGGAGATGCGCGTCACCACACCACGCAGCGTCAGCAGCCGCCCGAGGTGCGCGCCTCGCACCTCACGCACGGCCATGGCCGCGCTGCGCGCAGGCGGCTTAAAGTACAGCATGTAGCGCCGCAGGAGCGTCGGCGGAAACACTTCGGCGACTTCGCCGGCGTTCTCTTCCGCCTGCTCGTTCTGTACGTTGCGCTCCATACGCTGGTGTCGGATGACGTCTAGGACATCGTCCTTGTCCGAAATGTCGCGGTCGGGCGGCGGCAGCAGGCTGTCCACCACATCGCAGAACAAATTCGTATAGCGCTTCGTGTTTCCCTGGATCGAGGCGACCAGGGAGCCACCGACAAAGCGCCCGCTCGCAGAGCGGAACTGTGCGATATCATCGAGCTCAATGACGAGCATTTCCTGGTCGCGGTTGGCGATCCGCTGAAGCTGCACCATGTACTTGTTCACCATTGCGTCCTGCGCGGGTGTATCAACGTGCATCGAATCATCCTCCAGGTCCCGAGCCAGCCGCTCTTCCGGCGCCTCGACGGGGCCGTGCGACGCATTCCCGACCTCTGAGAGGGGCGGCACCTCGGATGGCGCAGCCTTGAAATGCTCCAGAAAATCCTGGATCTTTTCTCGTTCCTGGTCATAGTGGATGTCCAGCTGGACCACCGGCAGGATGGGGCCCGCACTCGCACTCATCGTGCGCGCGGTAAAAAGAGCGCGGGCAGCACAACCGACCCCGTCGCGACGCGCTCACGTGCAGCAAAAAGTGCGCCAAGGGGGAATCGAACCCCCGGCACAGCTACTCCGCTTGGCAAAGCTGTATTTTACCACTAAACCATTGGCGCCAGCTGCCAGCCTGAAACATAAAGCCCTATACAAAGGGGTGGCCCATGTGCCTCCTACCGGACCATCGCTGCACGGCCTCGTACGTCGGCGGATGCTTGTCGCTACCTACTCGCTCTGCTCCTTTGCCTTCCACTCGCGCTCGCGCTCGCGCACGATCTCCAAGCCCGGGAGCTCGCCTGCGACGGTGCCGAACAGCGCATCCCGCACTTGCGCGCTGCGCAGGCTCATCTCTTCCTGCGCGTACAAATCGCCATGGCCGGCCGTGTCGCGCGCACGGCGCGTCGAATAGCCATTCGGCGCCTTGACAAACTGGCGCCGGAGGCTCACTGCATCGGCAGCGCCGTGGGTCGCCGATGCGGGGGCCTGGCCCACGAGCGCACTCGGCAGCGGCATCGAATCATAGACATCCAGCTCGCCCAGCGTGTTGCGGCGCCCGGTCTGCTGCGCCTGCCGCTGCTGCGCAAGCATTTCGGCGGTCGTCGCAAACTGCACATGCGGACGACCCGTGCGCTCGCCCATGAAAGGGCCCAGCACACTCTCAGCCACAGCCTCGCCCAACTCGGCGTCTTGCTCGCCCTGCGTCGACGTGGGATAGAAACTGGGCGTCAGGTGGTACAGCGCCACCGCGCTGCGCAGATCGTCGTCCTTGCGCCGCTGAAGCTGGCGCCGCGCACGGCGCGACATACTCACACATGGTGAGGTAGAAAAGGCGCGCGTCGTCTGCGACACGCTGCGCATCGCAGCACGTCCGCTCAGGGACATGGTGGCCGACCAAAAAGGCATCGCCGCCGCCGGTCTTCGAAATCGCACGTGACACTGCGCGTGGCGCGGCGCTCGTGTTCGTGCCCCACGCTCCACTCGTTGAGGCGTCATGCCACAGCGGCCCCTGCCGCGGCCGTCAGGGCCGCTGATGGCGTCGCCCAGCGCGTTCGACTTGTTCCAGAGCGCTCATGTCCAGCCATTTGCTGCGCCAACGACGGTGCCCAGTAGTGCGCCGCCTGTGCCGCCAAAATCGCCGACGCCCGACCCACCACCGGTGTCGTCCGCCTCCGTATTGGCCCGGGCCGAGGAGATTATGCGGCAAGGCTCGCCATCGCGGCGGCGGCGGCGACCAGCCACTCCGATGGCATCCACGCCCCCACCGGGACCTCGCCCAGGCCCGGACGTGCGGCCCGTGTCCCCGCGGGCCCACACCCTGCTCGCCTCCCAGTCCTTGCACGAGACCGACGCCCCAGGTCCGCTGCTGGAAGGGCCGCGCACGCGCAGCCGGCCTCTTCCTGTGCCTATACCTCGCGCAGACTCTGCTTCATTGTTCGACTTTGCGCGCCCCTACGCACCCAGCGTGCCTGAAACCCCGCATGTGGCCGCACTTGAACGTACATCGACGCCCCCGGCGCGTCCACCACTTCCTTCTCCGCCGATGCGTAGAACGACGGCATTGGAGGAAGCCAGTGAAGGACCCATGATACCCGTGGCGCGCACGCCCTCGCCCAGCACGCCACACGAGACTCGCCCCGCGATTCCTGTGATTATGATTGACGGTGAGGTGATGACAGACGACATGATGGATCCTATCGCTGCGGATCCTGAAGCGAATATTGCCACAAGTGATGAGGCGCCGGCGCCTCAGCATGCATCGAGCTCGTCAGCCGCTGAGCGCGAGCTGTGGCAGGGCTCGCGCGTATCGGAGGGCATCACTGCTACATGCCACCGGTGCTCGCGCTGGATTGGCGGGGCGATGGTGCATGCCTTGGGTCACGAGTGGCATGCGCGGTGCTTTACGTGTGCGCATTGTGGCATGCCACTCGAGCATGTCTCCTTCTACGAGCACGGTGGGCAGCCGTACTGCCACCTGGACTTTCACGAGCTATTCTCGCGCCGGTGCTACCACTGCAAGACGCCCATTGTTGAGGAGCGCTTTGTCACGGTGGACGCATTTGGCGAGTCGCGTGCATACCATGAGCTGCACTTTTTTTGCGCGAGCTGTGGCGAGCCATTCATTGACCCCAAGGACGCTGACGATACGAGCCTCTCGGAGGGCAGCCGCCCCTTTTTTGTGCATGGGCGGCACGCGTACTGCGAATCGTGTCACCACCGCCTGCACCGGCCCAAGTGCCATGCGTGCCACCGGCCCGTCGGCGACGAGCACATTGAGGCGCTGCGCGCCGTATGGCACCGTGAGTGCTTTGTCTGCACGCGGTGCCGCAAGCCGTGCCTGGGCGCAGTGTTTGCGGCACCGGATGGCTCGCCGTGTGACTTTGACTGCTACCAAGCGTGGATCCGGGGGGGGACCAGTGGGCCGGCACCGCCTGCGCCGCCTGCCTTCGTACACTAGTAGATACACTATCAGCGCTGATCCACCACCGTGAGCGGCGCCGCACGGTCCCAGTACACGTGCGGCTCCAGGTACAGCGACGCCTCCTTCTCGTGGGGGTGGAACGGCTGCTTGTCGGTGCATTGGAGCACATACTGCAGCCCACTCGGCTGCGTGAGGCGATACACGCCAACGGAGGGCTCGTGCAGTGGCGCACAGACCACCGCGACAGCCTCGGGCAGCAGAGCCTGGTAGCTCGCCTGGGTATGGAGATCGAGCGACGAAAGGAAACACGTCTGGGTCGGATGCGTGTGGATCCACCCCAGCGTGACCAGGTCGTGCTCCATTTGGTAGGCCAGGACCTGCTCCTCGCCTTCAGCATGGCAGCTGACAGACGTGCCGTTCTGGGGGGGAAGCAGCAGATGCGTCACGCACAGCACCGAGCCGACATGCCCCAAAAGCAGCCCGCACGTCTCTGTGTCGGCAGCGAGCTGCTTCTCGGCGCACTCGAGGAAGGTCGCGGGCAGCGAGTGGGGCAGGTGCACAGGCCGTAGGGCCGTGCGCGGTAGGCGCTCAGGCACCGTCCTCGCCGGCATGGCCGGCCGGAGCGACATGGGGTGCTCCGACTCGGGCCGCGTAGCCTGTGCTAGGGTATCGGCCGGCGCCTTGGTGGGGGAGGTAGGCGACGCGGGCGACTCGCCCCGCATCCCGGGAGGAGCCACAGACAAGGATACAACGGGATCAGCGGTCAGGAAACGGCGCTCCGATCGTGGGCGACGCCATGGGCGGCGCGGCGGATCGGGTGGCGGCGCGGGCGGCGGAGTGGGCGGCGGCGCCTCTTGCGCCACGGGCCCCAGGAACGACATGCTGTCTTTGGTGTGCAGGCGCGGCACCCACAACTTGCGCCGGTTCGCCGCCTTCTCTGGCACGGCCTGCGCGGTGTCGTAGCGCGCCGAATCGCGGTGCCATGGCAGCTTGGTACGCATCGTCGAGAGAGGGTACGGCGGTGGCGATCCCTGGTCGGCTGCGACGGCAAACGAGACACGTTTGGATGGCGTATCGTGCGTATCGGGGGTGGTGTGCCGCAGGGAAGAGCGGCCAGGCGAGCGCCCCTTGGGGGAGCACGACATACTCGGCGACGAGGGGCCGTCGAGCTCCTGCCGCGCCTCCAGAATAGCATCGCGCGATAGCTGCACCATGCTGCGGATCATTTCTGCGGTCTGCGTGAGTGGGCTGGCGTACCTCGGCAACATGGGCGCGGTGCTCATCGTCGAGCCGGGCCCATCCTCTGTGCTCCCTGGGCAAGAGCTCGTCGAGGATCTTGGCGCACTTGGCGAGACTGAATAAGCTGCGTCGCACGTACCATAGATACTGGTGCTCGAGATCACCGGCATTGTGGTGCTGATCGGCCTGCCGCTTGAGTCGGTCGGCCAGGCGGATCCACTGCGATACGGGCGTCGCGTTGCTAAAGTGCGCCTGGTGCCGAAATGCGGCCACCTGCGCATCAAGCTCAGAGAGCGGAGGTGGCGGGGGGCGCAGCTTGGGCGGCCCGATGCGCGTCTCTGTCGGCACCAACAGGCTCATATGGTTCGTAGGCGATGTAAGCGTATGCGGCGCAGCGCCAGACGGCCCCGCTAACGTCCCCGAGCGGGGGCGGCGCAGCTTCATCGTGCGGATCGGTCGGTGCGCGGGGCAAGGTGTGGGCCGCACGTGGCCCACGTGGTCGATGGCGCGCTGCGCGTGGAGGTCGCGCCCATCAACACCATGGCGGGCACCGCCGTCGTGCACGTCGCGGACCTGCAAACGGGGACGCGTGTGCCGCGCGCGCAGTTGCTGGAGCGTCTGCGTGCGCACAAAGGTGTCGCGCATGTGCGCGAGCAGGAGCTGGTCCGGGACGTGATCTACCTACTGCAGGGCATCTCTGGGACATGTGTGCGGTTCCAGCACGAGTGGCAGCTGCCTAGCGCGGACGGCGCGACGCGCGCGCAGACGGTGATGCGCCTCGAGTTCGACGAGAGTCATGGCCTGATTTCGCCGCCGACGCGCGATCTGATCCACCGCGTCGCCGAGCTGGGCCAGCTGTACCTGCGTGTGCAGCGCTATGTCGACGATCACACGCAGCCGACGCCCACGCACCTGACCGCCCAGAGCCTCACACACTTTCTCGCGCAGGAAATGAGCGCGCACTGCGACCTTGTGTCGCAGATGGATGCGGAGTGGCATGCGCAGGAGGAGGGCGAGGCCCTTGAGCCGCCGCTCACGCTGCAGCGTCTCGTGCAGACGACGCGCGAGCCGCTGCTGCGCATGCGCCTCATGAGCACGATGGTCGAGAGCTGCCGCGAGGCGCATGGCGGGGCGATGGTCTCGACCATCCACACATACACACTCACCGGCGACCCGTTCATTCGGCGATGCACGTCGACGCTGCTCGACCAGGTATCGCGCCCGTTCTTTCATACCCTCTCGCGCTGGATCTACGACGGGGAGCTCGATGATCCCTTCGGCGAGTTTTTCGTGGCATGTGCGGCGCCGGCGGCGCACACGCCACTGCCGGCGGACGATCTGATCGTGGCCGCAGAGCAGAGCGTCGATGCCGCGGCCATATGGCAGAATCGGTTCGTGCTCCGCCCCGAAATGCTGCCGACGTTCCTGAGCGAGCACTTTGCGCGCAAGATCTTCTCCACT